AAGGAGCATTTTGGCTGCACTTCCTCCAGGACAGATCTGTTAGTTCTTTTAGCAGTCCATGGTACTTTCAGCATTCTTCACCAGCACCACAGTTCAAAAGCATCAACTCTTCAGGTTGGACCATTTTACAGGATAAAAAGTACATGAAAATCAACAGATTTTGAGTCAAGATAATGAGTCTAGTTTTGAACATGATTCTGATCATATCATGGCAGTTACTTCAAAATTATACAAGAGTACTTTTTTAATAGGATAAGAAGCATCATGTTACTTGTACCTAAAATCTGTGTTTGTATGTCTTTCTAGGTTCTCTAAGACTCAACTAAGAAAAATGAAAATAAAACTCGCTGAGGTATATCTCCAATATATGACTCTCTAAATTTACAAATTCAGCCAGGATCATACTTCCTTATGAGCTATACTTTTGAGACCACCTAGAAGAACACACAAAGAATAATATCAAAGAAAGGTGTATCTCCACTAATCTGCAGCAAGCTTTGTTTGTAACTCTTTAAAAGGTTTTGGAAGTCTACATAAAACATTAATTGACATCTGTATCAACTTGAAATGGTATAATTACAAAATTTAATCTTCAGTAATTAAAAAAAAATCTAGATATGATTAGTTAATAAAAATCTAGGTCAAGCAAAACTGAGACAAATATGAAGAAAATAAACATATCCAATTGATGCCATGAAATTTATTAAGGGACTGAAGAAGGGCTTAAGGAAAAAAAAGAGAGAGAGAAAAAAAAATTGTATTAAGCCATGGCCCTAATATGGGGTAACTGAGAGCAATACAAATAGAGGTTTGAAATTCATGTTAAAATTTCCCTGCATAAACTAAAAAACAAACCAACCTCACTGCCATCGAGTTGATTCCGACTCATAGTGACCCCCTTTGGGTTTCTGAGGTGGTAAATCTATACAGAGGTAGATTGCCCAGTCTTCCTCCCACAGAGAAGATGGGGGTTTGAACTATCAAGCTTCTGGTTAGCAGTCAATTGCCTTAGGCACCACACCACCAGAGCTCCTTCATAGAGACTGTTTTAAATTAATGTTTAATGATGTTTATGTTCAGAGGCAGTGCCTGATTTTTTTCTCTCCTAGGCAAATATGTCTGTAGCTCTCAAAATCTCCAACAGCTCCAAATTCCAGGTCTCTGAGTTCATCTTGTTGGGGTTCCCAGGCATTCACAGCTGGCAACACTGGCTTTCCTTGCCTTTGGCACTACTGTACCTCTCAGCAATTGGTGCTAATATACTCATTCTCATAACCATCTTCCAGGACTCTACTCTGCAGCAGCCTATGTACTATTTTCTAGGCATCCTCTCTGTAGTGGACATGGGCCTAGCCACCACCATCACGCCCAAGATTCTGGCCATCTTCTGGTTTAATGCCAAGGTCATTAGCCTCTCTGAATGTTTTGCTCAGATTTATGCCATTCACTGTTTTGTTGGCATGGAATCTGGTATCTTCCTCTGCATGGCTTTTGATAGATATGTAGCTATTTGTCATCCTCTTCGCTACCCATCAATTGTCACCAGTGCCTTAATCATGAAAATCACCTTGTTCATGGTGCTTAGAAATGGCTTGTTTGTCATTCCAGTGCCTGTGCTTGCAGCCCAGCGAGATTATTGCTCCAGGAATGAGATTGACCATTGCCTATGCTCCAACCTTGGGGTCACAAGCCTGGCTTGTGATGACAGGAGGCCGAATAGCATTTGTCAGTTGGTTTTGGCATGGGTTGGCATGGGGAGTGATCTAAGTCTTATAATATTGTCATATAGTTTTATCCTGCGCTGTGTACTTAGATTGAGCTCAACTGAAGCTGCATCCAAGGCTTTAAGCACTTGTAGCTCCCACCTCATCCTTATCCTCTTCTTCTACACGGTTGTGGTAGTGATTTCAGTAACTCACTTGGCAGAGACTAAGGCCACTTTAGTTCCAGTTCTACTCAATGTGCTACACAACATCATTCCCCCTGCCCTGAATCCTATGGTCTACGCACTTAGGACAAAAGAGCTAAGGGCAGGTTTCCGAAAGGTGTTTTATTTAGGCCTAGAAAAGAAATAAGACACTACAGACTTTGTCCATGACATACATGGACTGCAGCTTCTTCTAAAGTGGATAGCAAAATTTCATTGAGGATGAGTAGTGAGTAAATGCCTTTGAGATCATTTTTCACATTTTTAAAATAAATGATTGTTAGAACAACAAATATGTGATCAAAAGGGCAGCATTTGCCCAGAGATGAAGTTCGAAAGTCAGGACAGGAAAGAAGGATGAATGGAAAAGGGAAACACAGGGAGGAAGTGGGATAAGTGCTATTACATCGTGGAGATTGCAAACAATGTCATGGAACAAAATACGTATGAATTGTTGAATGGGAAACTAATTTGCTCTGCAAACTTTCACCCAAAGCACAATAAAATGTTAAAAATAAAATAAAATGATCATAAAGGCATCTGGGGGGGGGCGGGGGGAACCAACTTCTCATTTACTTCAAAATTTCTACAAGAATTAAAAATATTTGAGAACATGGAAGAACCCTCTACCAAAACAATAAGAGGGGATCAAAGACCAGGATTAATGATCAATATCTAGCCTCTGAAAACAAAACAAAACAAAAAACAAACCCATTGCCATCAAGTCAATTCTGACTCATAATGACCCCCATTGGATTTCCAAGGCAGTAAATCTTTACAGAAGTAGATTGCCCCGTCTTCCTTCCACAGAGCAGCTGGTGGAGTTGAACCACCAATTTTCAGGTTAGGAGTCAAATGCCTTAGACATTTTACCACCAGAGCTCCTTCTAAAAACAAATGCAAGTATGAAAAAAAAAAAAAAAAAAAAAACATGCACATGTTTACACACCTCCCACACAACCAAAGAAATAAGCAATTGGGATATGAATTAAAGGTCATGGTTGCTTGCTGATAGGCATACTTGCAGAGAAGTCAATGTACCTGAACTAGCACCATTCCAATAACATGGAATGTAAAGGCAGGGATAGGAAACCTTTCAAATGAGCAGAGCCAAACCAAACTATGATAGGGTTCTACACAGAACAAGGAGAAATGCCTCAATTTAAACAAGTAGAGATGAAAAAATGGATAGCTCTACAGACCCTGAATCTTGTATCATTTACCTCTCCAGATACTTCCTCTGCCTTTTCTGCCCTGATCTATAGTGTGGAGGACTGAACCATGTGTACTGTATGACCGAGACTCCTTTGTCTACTGATATTCCCTTGGATTGAGTCAATGGAAGCCACTGATAGGAAATTAGTTTGTAACAGAAGAGACAGTTGGATTATTTATTCTCTCCTCCCAGCCTCCTTTGACATTAGAGCTATGACTTATGTGTCTTTTTTAGCACTTGCCAGACAGTCCTGCTTCTACTACTGCAGATCTTACTGCTTTCCAATATCATTTTTTCCTTCCCTATTCCCTTCAGGCTAAAAGGTTTATCAATAAAGTCTTTCTGATACTCTTCTTAATAATATTCACAATATTGTACCCAGCATTCACTATATTTTCAACATCTATTTATTTCCTTAACCTCATTCATGGCTCCATTATTAACAATTTCATTAAATTCTCTTTGGCCTCATTTTATTGTGTGCCTTTTGTTTCTTGCTGGGACCCTGACTGATTCACCACTCTACTTACACTGCTATCACCTCTGAGGAACTCCAGTGGTGCAGTGGTTAAAACATTCAGTTGGTAGCCAAAAGGTTGGGGATTTGAACCCACCAGCCTCTCTGTAGGACAAAGATGAGACAGTCTGCTTCTGTGAAGATTTACAGCTTTGGAAACCCTAAGTAGTAGTTCTACTGGGTCCTATCTGGTCACTATGAATTGAAATTGACTTGAAGGCAGTGGGTTTGGTTTAGGTGTTTTTTTTTT